ATAGATGGCAGGACCAGTGCTGAAGTGAAAGGAAATATCTTTAAAAAAATTTTGAAAAAACATTTCTTCTTAGAGGGCGCTTATTTATAGTCTAAAACGTATTTTAGGAATTTTTTCATTAAATTTATCTTTAAATTTCATTAAAGAATACAATTTTGTACAAATAATTGAATGTTATGCTACTAGTTATAAAAATAAAATCAGAACTCCATTAAAAGATAAGTTCTCTATCATTTTTTCAATTTACAAATGCACACTTGCATTGCCTACTAAAAAAGTTAGTACCGGTAGTCATCGGGTTAATTCAGTAGAACATGACATTTTGCTTCTTAGCTTTCAGTCAAGGGTCACGGATGATCAAGTCAACAATTAATTCAGTAGAACATGACATTTTGCTTCTTAGCTTTCATTCAAGAGTCAAGGATCATCAAACCAACAATTACTTTATTGAAACACGATGGTGTAATTTAACTTTCAGTCAAGAATCAAGGATTATCAATCTAACAGTTGATTCAGTAAAGAATGATAATTGAATGTGGTATTACTGTGGTGAGTATATTGACACTATATACAGGGTTAATGTAGTATCGCTGTGGTGAGTATAGTGATACTATAACATACCTGTGGTGAATGTAGTATCATCATGGTAAGTATATTGACACTATATACAGGGGTCAATGTAGTATCGCTGTGGTGAGTATAGTGATACTATAACATACCTGTGGTGAATGTAGTATCATCATGGTAAGTATATTGACACTATATACAGGGGTACATGTAGTATTGCTGTGGTGAGTATAGTGATACTATAACATACCTGTGGTGAATGTAGTATCATCATGGTAAGTATATTGACACTATATACAAGGGTCAATGTAGTATCGCTGTGGTGAGTAGGTGTTGTATGTTGACCATTCCTTTAAACGACACATCATTATGTTGAAAACGTGATTAAACAATATATCGCTTGTTGTTGCTAAAATATTTGAGTTAATATACAAAAAGCTCGCTACTTCGTCTTTGATCATTCGGAAGTTTGAAGTCTAGTGTTCATTTCAACCTTGTAGCTTGGTTATCTCACCTAAATACTAGTTTTTGTACAGTTAGGTCGCTGGCAGGATCTGTACTAGGTTGTTGTATATACTTTAAAGAGTATACCTTAAGTTACTTCTCATAACTTTTGAAGAATTTGAGCTTTCTACCTCAACCACTTCTGTTATCAATAGTACTAGTTTCACTGACCCTCTTCAGAGTCTTCATAGTTATGGTAATCAGTACACTGGTATCCATCAGATAGTCACAAATATTCAAAAATGTGGGTTTTGAAAATGATATTTAAAGTATAAAAGGGAACATGGAAAGCAATGAAAGACATATAACACAACAGTGAAAATATTGAAGCAGAATTTGCTGGGTTCTAACTATATAGTTATACTGTAACTGGTAACTGTGGTTAGAGTGCAGAATTGAAACGTTTAGACCAAACAAAGACAAAGATTTATATTAGATCTAATCCATAGTGTGGTATCCCACAATCTATTAGATTAACTACGTCAACGACTGTTTCAAATATACATGTTCAAGGGAGAGAATCTCAAAATCTATGCTAATTTGCACATGTATCTGTTTCACTCTTAAAATGAGCTTACCGTACCTCACGTTAGAGAAAAGCTGGTACAAGCTTCTATGGGATTTCATTTGTAGTGTGAAATTTTGCCTTAGCAAGCAGATTAGTGTATATTTACGACCTTTTTACATGTGGTTTAACAGGAAAATACTTACTACATGTACAACACCTACAAAATTAAAATAATAATAATAATAATATATTTGAATAAAAATATATCCTTAACTTGTTTTGTAATGGTAAGATATGATGATATTAATAGCACCTCGCCCCCCTTTTTTTTATCTCATGATCTCTTAGGTTCTTTCTTCGAAGTTAAACATTACAAGTCAAATCAAAAAGTTAACTAGAAGGCCTCAACTTACGGTAATCATCTTCCTCGGGTCACGTTTAACACGTTATTACACATGCACAAAGAAAACAAAGGTAACATAAAACTCCAACAACAATTTACAGCAGTAATAAAATAAATATAACTCAAAATGTATTTCAAATGAACAACATCAAAATTAAACTAAAATGAAACACAGTTACTATGCTGGTCAGCTAAACACATGACAAGACTGAATTGCAAAAGTTAAACATATTAGAATATACAGATCAAACTTTAAAACATTCGGTAGCATCTGTGAATTGTTTCATCATAAAAGTACAAATACAAGACATTTATAAACCAAAACTACAGTATGTTTCACTTTATTCTGGATGGACAATTAATGATTATTTAACTTTGTAAAATCTACAAAGATCCCAGTTGTCTCAGTTTCTAGATATCCCTTCACCAACAGCATTGGAAATAATAAATAACATGGTTATGAATATTCTAGTTTAGAATCAAACTCTATATATCCTTTAACTGTATTAAAAAAACACCGTGCTTATTTCTAAGTACAATTTAAGCTTAAGACTGTATATTTACCAAACATATCACATCTCAATATTTTAAGCCTATATCTTTATTTTGCCTGAAAAGCTAAACTCTCATTTATATTAAATTCGTGTACGTAATTAAATTTACACAAACTGGTTTATGCATATAAACAAAGAACATACCTCTACCATCGCACATAGGTATTCATTGTTACATATTAATAATGCAGAGTATGACTCACCATTCGTTAGCTAACCTGACTTCCTCAGCAACTGATGCCATTTGGCACTCAGGCTCACCAACTTCCACTAAAGCACGTGTAAAAC